GTTTGTAAGTGAAGGTCATTTTAGCAACAGGTTTTGGAATGTATGTCTCCTTCCCTTTGGGAGGCTCATATCCAATTCCTCTTCTGTTTTTCCCACTAACTCCATAGATCATTAAAGCCATTTTGCTTCTGTCTATGCCTTTAGCAAGAAAAGATTGAAAGCTATAGTCATATTCTTTCAGAATATCTTTTGAACTAGATACAGACTCTGAACTAAAATTCTTTTGAACATTTTGAATTTCCTTTTTAAGTTTAAAATTGTTTTCTAAAAGTTCAGATTTTTCTGTTTCAAGTTTCTCAAGATCATATGCAAGACTTTTCTTGAGTTTCTTGTATTTGATTTTGAGCTTACTATAGTTTTCCAGAAGTTCTGATAAACTATCAACAAGTTCTTTTCTAGAAAATTCAGAAAATACCTCTCTTTGTTCTGACTCACAGTCTGAGTCATCTTCTGTGATAGCCATCAGAGCTAGGTTGGCATTTTCATCTTCAGAACCGGATTCATCTTAAGAAGAATCTGAGTCATCCCAGGTAGCCATCATTCCTTTCTTCTTACCAAATCTCTTCTTTGGTTTTTCTTTTTGAAGCTTTGGACAATCACTTTTGTAGTGACCAGGTTCTTTGCATTCATAATAGATGATCTCTTTTCTGTTTGATTTTTTGTGTCCAGAAGATTCTGCTTTATCTTCTGACTTCTTGAAGTTCCTGAACTTCTTTTGTCTGTGCTTCCACAGATGATTGATCCTTTTGGAAAGCAAGGATAGTTCGTCTTCTTCTGACGCTGATTCTCCAGAGTTTTCCTCTTCAGCCTGAAAAGCGTTAGTATCAAATTTCTTAATTTATTTAAGGGATAGAGACTTACCTTTCTTTTGAGGCTCGTGCTCATCCAGTTCAATCTCATGACTTATGAGAGTGCCGATGAGTTCCTCCAGAGATACATTGTTCATATCTTTTGACACTTTGAAAGTAGTGACCATTGGTGCCCATCTTCTGGGTAAGCTTCTGATGATCTTTTTCACATGATTTGCTTTGGTATATCCTTTGTTCAAAACTCTCAGACCAGCTATCAGAGTTTGAAACCTAGAGAACATTGCTTCTGTAGACTCGCTCTCTTCAACTTTGAAGGCTTCATACTTCTGAACTAAAGCCAGAGCTTTAGACTCCTTAACTTGAGCGTTTCCTTCATGAGTCATTTTGAGAGACTCAAACATATCATGCGTTGTATCTCTATTAGTGATTTTTTCATATTCTACTTTAGAGATAGCATTTAGAAAAATATTTCTAGCTCTATGATGATTTTTAAAATCAGCTTTTTGTTGTCTATCCATATTTTTTCTATCCACTTTGTTTCCTTCTGAATCTGTAGGATGTTTGTAACCATCCAAGACTATATCCCAAAGATCACTATCATGACCTAGAAAGAAACTTTCTAGTCTATCTTTCCAGTACTAAAAATCTTCTCCATCAAACACTGGAGGTTTGTTGTAACTATTATTGTTTTGTTCAGCGACCATTGTGTTTTCTTCTAGATCTTTTCCTGACACGGTTAAGTGTTGTGCTTGGAGTCAAGCTCTGATACCAATTGAAGGGGTAAGAAAACACTTGGAAGGGGGGGTTGAATAAGTGACTCTTTTCGTTTTCAATACAAAGCTCAAACAATAATTGAAGAACACAGTTATTTTTATCCTGGTTCGTTTGAACTCAAACTACTCCAGTCCACCCGCCAAGGTGATTTCGCCTTTCTCAACAAGGATTTAATCCACTATAATCAATTGATTACAAACATACAACAACTGTTGTGACTAACAATGCACAAGTAATCTTACAAGTGACAAACACCACTAAGACTTAAATCTAGTCCTAGTCGGCTTGAGAAATATGACCAAACTTGGTCTCTCAAGGAACAAATACAGGAGTTTAATCTTTATAGATAATGAAATAGAGTTTGCTTCTAATCAAGCTATATCACAACTGTGATTTTTCACTTAGAATAATGCACAAATTGTATGAACAATGAGTTTGTGAGCTTAGGATCTTTCACGTAGTTTCTTGCTTCTATTTGAAAATTTGATTGGTTCACTTAGTTGTTGGCTTGCAATAAATGTCCTTCTATTTATAGTAGGAACAATAAGACCGTTGTTGCCTTCAGAAAAGTTAGAGAGCATTAAATGCTTGCGTGTTTCTTTGCAATATTCCATTTTCCAAGAAACTAGTTGTAGGCACTTTAGTGCTTTCAGCCGTCTTTGCATTAATGAGCAAATGACAGAATGTAAGAACATGTTTCCTTCGCTTTGACAAGACAAGTTGATCTTAGCGTTATTTCAGAATTTTCTCCAATGTCTTTAAGTCAGAACATGCTTCACTCATCTTCTAGGCAGTGCGTTGCTTGCTAAGAACTTCGAACAACACTTGCTTTCAAGTTATCTTCTGAGCAAGGAAACTGCTAAAAGTTAGAAGATATATTTAACAAATAAAGTGTCTTACCAGAGTCAGCAGATGCGCTTGAATAAAAGGTTCTTTTATCAAAGAACTTCTACATAATTTTTGCTTAGCACTTCAGAATGTTTTCATTAACTGAGACATTCAAACACATTTATCAAAGTATAAATTATCTTAAATATAATTTAGTTATCATCAAAACTCTTGAGACAGGTCAGAACTAATCTTGTTCTTTCACATACCTTTAGAACTTGTTATCTACCATTCCCACCATTATTGTTGGGAACAAAACAATTGTATTTGGGTTTCCTATTCTACCCTCAAACGAATCTCTTTGTCAGCTATAAAAGGAGGACTTAGAAGAATTTGAAATCAACAAATCAGATCTACAAAACTACACCAAACCGCTACACAACTCTTTTGATATATTCTTTGTATAGTTTTGTAAATAAGCAAGAATCTTTTGTTCATATCTTACTATGAACACTTTTGTGTTGTTGTACTTAAACATTGTGTAATCTGCTTTATTCGAAGCATCTTTGTATACACATCCATCTAAATCAATGATGGTTGATTGGTTCCTTGAGAGACTTTGTGAGTTTGGATTCTCAAGAAGACTTTGATTGTGGTCATAGTTGATTTACAATAAGGATCGACGAATTTATTGGGGTGCCAATAAGGTTGATCAGGCTTATTATGGTTGTCTGTAATTTGGTTGATTATCGTGAATTAAGTCCTTGTGTATAAGGTAAATCACCGTGCAGGGTGGACTCGAGTAACTTAGTTAACAGTGAACCAGGATAAAAATAATTTTATTCATTTATTTTTATTCACTTGTTAAGCTTTGTATTTGAGTTACGAAAAGATTAAATTTTGTGCAACCCAATTTAAACTCCCTATTTCTTGTGTCTCTCGCACCTTCAGTCTCCCCATTACCATACACTTTATAAGAGTGATACGAAGTTGTAGAATCCATTCTTGATTTTCGTTTTTGAATTGGTGATGCCCTAGAAAAACAAAACAATGAATGAGAGAGAAATGTTGAAAAATAAGATGGATGCCTAATTTTAGGAAGAACCTCGGGAAATAGTGAATCCATAATTTCTCAAAGAAGGGTGGCTTATAACATATGATCTAACTTGGATGCCACATATTGGTGACAAGGATGAAATGTTTAAATATTTAACATCGTTTCAGAAATTGGATGGAAAGGACAAACTTGAAATAGTTAGTCAAATTGAAGGACTAAACTAGACATTTTTTAAATTAAAGAACCAATATGAATCCCAATTAAAAGATATAAAACGAAAAAGAATATCAAACCTTATTTTGTTCACATAAGCTTTCCGTAATGTAATGAATATTTCAAAAGTTGATATATATATATATATATATATATATATATATATATATATATATATATATATATATATATATATGGTCTATAATTTCAACACATCATGTATTCGTCTGTTGTTACTTTTTTTACTCGCACGCCATAAATGAGGGTGGTCAATTATGCTATGTATATTCATTCTCATGGATAAATTGTTGTATGTTAAATGTGAGTTAAAGTTTTATCATCAATGAAAATAAATATTAAATGACATATAAGTGAGATGATTCATATATTTAATATCTTAAATTCATATATTTAATATCTTAAAATTCAAGATAAAAATACAATGATAAGTTACTTTTGTATAGTTGCTCTAAATTTAATGTAATGATCCTATAATACCATATGATTACTAAAAAGAAATTTTTTTTAACGAAAATCTTTTTGACAGAGGTAGTCATGTGACATGCCACATTGATTTGGTGGTGTAAAAAACGGTGCAAATCTATATAGATGAAAAAAATTTTGTTTGAGAGAAATTATCTCAATGATTAGATGGACTTATACAAGAGAGAGTGGGAGATTGTTGTATGTCAAATGTGAAATCTCAAATTTGATGAAAAAAAGTGTTAAACTCATAAATAATATGTTAAGGATTTTAGTAAAAATGTGATTTTAAATTCTCTTTGAATTATTACTCTTAACACAATGTGATGACCCTCTTAGTTCCTAATTACCTAATATACACCTTGTACATTTTAGAATTAGGTTAATCAATTTAAGACAAGAATTTAAAACAAAAATCTAACACGATTAAATATCTTTAAAAATGTCATGATGTAATTTATGTGGTTTTAATTTACAGATGTCACCTGTATCATTCATATAAACACTTCATAACTTTACCGAAAACCATGATTGAGGCACCATCCAATGGTAGGTAAAGTGTCTCTCCTTTAATATGATAAAAGAAGATGGATAGTGGGTATAGCTTTGCCCCCACACCATGCAGTGATAACTCACAAAGACTTTGATAAAGCATCTCAACATAACAAAGCTTTTCAATTTCTACTTTATATAGTCACTAGAAACTAGTGAAAGAGAGAACTTATCTTCAACCATAGAACTCATTCTCAAAATCTCATCCTCTTTGTTTTCTTCACTCTTCAAGAGGATCATAGCATGTGTAGTATAAGCCACTTTTTGAAGATATCGTGTAAGGAATGAGAAGCAGATTCCTTAGAAAAATGAAACTCATCCCAACCAGAACAAACTTGAAACAAGGCCTTGTTTTTCATCTCAACACAACAGATATGTTTTGTATCCAAGAATGTCCAACTTCATCATTCTTTTATGACCACAAAGGAAACGATTCGAGGTGGACGGCCGCTCAGTGCGGAACAGGAAACAATCTTGATGAAAATGAGAAGAATAATGATGATAAGATACATCATTTGGAGGGACAAGAATTCAACTTCAAATTAGCTACAAAAGAGTATCCATCTCTTCAAAGTTTTGAAGAAAAATGTCCACCTGGTGGAAGCAACTCAATCATTCTTTACACAACAAGTTTGAGAGGAATAAGGAAAACATTTCAAGATTGCAACACTATCCGTTTCTTGTTGAGAAGTTTAAGAATAATGTACCATGAAAGGGATGTGTCTCTACATTTGGAATATAGACAAGAATTGTGGAATATATTGGGACAGAAAGTGATTCCTCCAAAGCTTTTTATCAAAGGAAGGTACATTGGAGGAGCTGATGAAGTTATTGCATTGAATGAAATGGGCTGGCTTGGAAAGATTTTGGAAGGAACACCAACTGTTGTTTCTAGTGATTGTCTTTGCATTGGTTGTGCTAACATGGGATTTACTATTTGTTCAACATGTTGTGGAAGTTGTAAGGTCTTCATCAACAATGGTGACAGCAGCAACAATGAATGTTTCCTTAGATGTCATGATTGCAATGAAAATGGGCTTGTCAAATGTCCCATTTGTTGCTAGAATTTGATATTTACTAAAATGGCCCAAATTTATATTGATATTACTAAAATGGCCCATTTTGTTGAATGAAAACAAAATGTTACCCTAGCTTTTATAATATCATATATTTAGTTATCCTTAGACATGGTTCGTATGTAACATAATATATAGTGTGTTTGTGAAATACAATGAAGGTGAGTTATTTATACGAATATTTGTGAAATATAATGATGGTGATCTTGCTCACGATTGTGATTTGCAAGAAAATAAGTATATTCTAATTGTGTGAAATTAATGAATGTTATCTCAAGATTTGTTTAGGCGGGATAGGCTCCGGCCTACTCTCCTCAAGGACGCAACGGAGTTATCTAAATTCAATATGATATAGTTCTAAAATGGACATTGTTTGAAACTTGTTTTTAGATGTAAAAGGCTAAAACTACATGTTGATGTTGTGTAGGGACTAATTGATAAAAAGAATTATCTTGTTATTATTGGTGTGGTAAAGGTACTATCTTTTCGTCGATAATTCTGCATTGATTGAATGAAAAACATTGAATCCAAACATCTTACAATCTACAATAAACTTAATTAGACTAAGTATTTACTATCTTAGTCTAAAACAGTGAGTAACCTTACAATAATATAATGAAGTGGTGTTAAGATAGAGAGAGGTAGAGAGAAAAAGAGAGAAATGGACCATGGTGGTTCCACAAAGACAGACTGGAAGTGGCATAGAATAGAAGACAGAGAGACAAATAAACAGGAATAATTTGTTAAATCTTGTGTTAGTGTGTGCATTAAAATCTTGAAAAAGATTGAAGATAAAACGATAATGGTGCACAAATATTTTGCAAAGCTTATATGGACACAATCAATTTTAAATTTGATTTACCTCACCAATTTATCTATGCAAAGGGGGAAAAAAAGTGGCCAATTTATCTATGCAAAGGAAAAAGTGGTAAAATTTGATTTACCTCACCAATTTTAGATAATTTGATATGAATTGTTCTCTCACATTAAGTATATTGATAATAATATTTTATTTAATAAGGTTTCTTTAGTTACTTATTTAAACTAGAGAAGAGAATAAATAATTTAAAAATGATTTCAGTTGGATTTTGATTTATAAAACAACTAAATTCATCTCATAAAATTATTTTTATTTATAGAAAAATTACATTTATTTTGGTCGGCCATCCAAAAGGGTGAGGCCCAATCGTGAGTTCAACTCACTCTACTAACGCATCAAAGGTATAGTTCTAGTGATTGTCTTTGCATTGGTTGATGCCTATCCTTAGATGTTATTAAAGAGTCTCTCGTGTTTCACCCTAAAATTGTAGGAAACGTATATAACTGTTATTCATATATAAAGCATCTCACAAGAGATTAAAGTATTCTCATTGATTCATAATTAATTTTACTCTTCATTCTCTTATTTTCTTGGGTGTCGGAATGCTAATCTTATTGGTCCACCCGTGTGTCGCCGTATTGGAGATCTACTTCACTGCATCAAGATCTTACTCTGTCATTTCACCGATTATTTTTGGTTCCATAGCCGAATATTAGTGTCGTCTGTGAGAACTCGAAGTTCTTACCGTGTCTCTTAGCCTCGACTAAGGGGCAACTATTTTAGACTGGTCAAAATAGTCCCACGTTGTTTTGATAATTGTAGTGATATATTTGTGAGGACCCTCAAATATTACGACATATGTTCTTCGTTGGGCCCCTTCCCTCTGAGATGTCGCTCAGGGCATATCTTTATTTTGGCACAGGGGCTCGCCCTAAGAAGAAACATAGATAATATTATATATCCAACTCCTAACTACATGTGTGAAGTCATTTCAATTACCCCCCCCCCCAAGAAATAGGCATTCAATAGTTTCTCCAATCAAAAGTGAGTGGGTTTCACTTCTTAGGAATTCCTTAAAACCCTAGGCCTAAAAGACTTTATATATACTTCAACCTTAAGGTGTAGAAGGACAAATCATAATGTACACATAATATTGCACAAACACAAAGCTTCTCACCTCATGTGAGCTTGTTCTCTATAGTCAAAACTACCTAACAATACTACTCATCACACAAGTCCTACACTGTTAGAAAAACACTAAGGCCTCTGATCATTCCTACCAGTGCAGGAATACCACGCAGTATGTACTTTTTGACAACTACAGGAATCAAGACTAAGTAGTTTATATACAACACCCATACTCCTCAACCCAATGAGACACCATTTTTAAGGGACAAATTCACGAGGGTTCTCACACCCAAAGCAAAAAATACCTCGTAGTCACATTGACGCAGACTTGAGGTCGAATGAAACAACACAAATTGATGAAGTTAAGAAACACCAAATTTTCAAACTAAATGGTTATATGGATAATTTTTTATAATGTATCACAAGTATTAAAGTATGAACATCATTAAATACTTTTGTTATCATCTTTAAGTTTTACAATTTATCACAATTTATTACAAGTCATTAACTGGGTCAGAAGTTAGTTAATTATAATTTTAATAATTCTACACACTTAATCATACATTAGTATACCCTATTGTTCTTTAAATACTTTTGTTATCATTAAAACCCAAGGAGTATGAGCTCAAAGAGGACAAGCTGATTTTGTTCCAATAATCTCCCCCTTTTTGATGATGACAAAATAAGTATTTTAAGAATAATTGGTTGGTCAATTTTAATAATTTGACAACATCAAAGTTCGAGGTTTGTAAGCTTCCCATGAGTCTAACAGTTCATAGATTGAGGTTTGTAAGCTCCTCCTAAGTCTTATCCAAATTATTTAAACTATTTTTAATAACTTGATAAATTCAGAGCTTGGGGTTTGTAAGCTATCTCTGAGAATATGCAATTGATTAACTTATCTCAACAAATAAGCAAGAGTCGTCACTGAATTTTATTATTTCTAAAAGAAATGGGAAAAGATCAAATAAAACCCAAAATAAAAGTGAGATCAAGGTACAGGGGTTGGTTATGCAAAGAGAATGTATTAGTACCATAAACATCTAAGGCACTCTGTAGGAACCTCTTGAAAATCTGTGTATTTGGATAAAAGAAGTTGCTTGCAAAATGACTGGAGAGATGGGAAAATAATTTTTTTTTTATTATTTTCATTCCGCAAGACTTCGAGAGTCGTGTACCTACGTACCACTAATGTGCAATGATGAAATCTGAACCACATAGTTCTTCTAAAAAAAGAACAAAACTTTGTGTGTTGGTTGATTTTAAAGGAAAAGACAAGTTGTCATTTTTAGGAGAAGACTTGACTAATCACCCAAAAAGTATGAGAAGAATGAACAAAGCATCACATGAAAGAGGTCTTACACTTGGATAAGATCAACAAGTGTCTCGAGCGCTCAAGTGGAAAAGTCAACAATTTTCAATCACAGTCATGTGGATAGGAGAATAACATCTCGACCATAAACGACTCATGTCTAATCTTGAAAAAAATTTAAAGAGAAAAGTGCACAAGGGCGCAAAAAGGTTTGAATGAAGCTGAATATTTTTTTTTTGTCTTTTGAAGATGTTTTAATATTGTTAAATGAATTGAAGTTTGATTATAGAAAATAAGTTTGAAAATTCACTTGAGAAAGTCAAGGTTTATTATGAAAGTGGTTCAAGTTTGAAAACAAGAATCCTTTAAAAAAGGGAGAAGGTTTTGAGAATTAAAGAATGGGAGGAGATGAAGAGACTATCATAAAGCATAAATTAAATGTGAGAAATATATGGTCTCATTATAAGGTATCCCAAGAGAAATTTGTGTGTGTGCATTGTGACCTAACCGGATAAGCCAGCAAATTGACATAAGTCAGACCAAGCATTCTATTCCTTTGGATTCGAGTCACAAGATAAGCACAAGAAAGGAAGCCAAACATACTCAGATGAAAGCAAACCTCGGATGAAATAAGAACTCAAGTCAAATAGGTTAAAACCATGTATCAAAATTAGATGAACAAATGCAATATGAAGTAAATATTTAATCAATTAATCAAGAATTAATTAAATTGATTAATTAGGTTAAGAAAAATTAGTTAGTGAAACTAATTAGTTTTTAATAACAAAATCAACTTACTAAATCAACGGTTAATTAATTAATTAAAAGCAACGAAATATGCAAAGATGAAATCAAATAATCAAATAGAAATTAAACAATTAAATGATAAACACACAAATTAATTAAGTTAATTTAAAAATATTTAGTAAGACTTATTGATCAACATTAACTTAATTAAATAAAATCAATTAACAAAATTAATTACCAATTAGAAAAGATAATATTAAAATAATTAAGAGAAAATAGAAACAATTAACCAATCTAATTACCATTAAAAACTAACAACTATAAAAAGAAGAATAAACTAGAACAATTAAAAAGAAACGACATGAACACAAAATAAAATGGGCTGAACAAAAAAGAGTAAACCAGGGCTAGTATGGGTTAGGCCCAATCATTATTATCTTTCAGCAAAGAAATAAAAGTAAGATGGGGGGGGGGGGGGGGATTGTTGTGGAAAAACGCATGGGCTAAAGGGATTTGAGGTGAGGCCCATATGTAACATAAAAGTCAGAAAAAAGGAAAACAAAAATTAGTAAATACTATTAAAAAACAACTGGGTCGGGTCATGGTGGTTTCACTCGAATAAACATCTCTTAATTTTCTTTCGATTTCACTCTAATAACAACAACAACAATAACACAACTTCCTTCGGTTCTTTTGGTGAAACAACAACAACAAAAAGTCTTTCTCATGGTTTCAATATTAGAATCAACAACAAGAAACAATAATGAAAAATAGGGAGGTGCAAAAATGGTGGAAGGAATTACCTATCGGAGTCCCTCTAATGGGCTTCAAAGAGGTGAGTATACTGAGCTTCTTTATTATTCGGTGATTCTCTCCTTCTTTTCTGGAATTCTTGGTTGAATAAGGTTGCTCTTATGTATTGCTCCTGCGTTGAAGGTTTGTGTTGTTTAGTCTGCGGATCTGGTTCAAGAATGTTGTAGG